CTTTAACACCTGGTACAACTTTTAAAATGAATGAAAAATGTATTTATCAACATAATGTCGACAATTAAGTTTTAAAAATAGAATTTTAATAATATCGTATTGCATTAAAATACTGTATACAACTTTTTTGTAATTAGTGGGTCTATAACATTTTCAAGAAGATCAAGAACATTTCCTCACAAAACTATATTCTTATGTAGAAGTCATCTTCGCTGTTACTCGCACATTTGAATTTTATGAGGTAAAAACTTATTTTTATCACCTTATAAACAAAACCAACAAAAGTATTTGTTAAAGCAGTTACTTTTTTCTATTGCACACTGAACCAGTTCCCCCAAAATTTTTTCATAAGGTTACTGACGTATTGATGGCCTACATTTTTGCCTGGATGCCTCTCATTAAAAAGGCGTGCGGTTCTATAGACCACAGGAATCAAATCCGTAAATAAAAATTAATTTGGTTCTTTCTGCCAAAGTATACAACATATTATTTATTTTTATATTATTTAGGTGGTTTAATATATCAATACAAATATTTTAACTAAAATGTGCAACAACTCTGCTAAGGGTAAATTGAAACAACAATTTTTTGTTTTATTTATATTACACCTTTATTTATTTATTTTAACTTCAATGAATCAAAAACTGTATTTGTACTTCCCCCTCGATATCTAAATCGACCTGTTTTTATTAACTATAACTCAAAAGTTATTAAGGGCGGCTAGTTTTTAATTGAAAGCCCTTTATACACTCTAACTACTTATATAAAGTGTTCACATTGTAACACCCTGTACAACACAGAGTTTAAAAAACGCTTAAATCAGAATGAATGTCCTCCATTAGCTGCTTTTGATAAATCTGGTCGTAAAAAAGTATACGCGAAAAACTCGCATTAAGGACTTGTTTTTTTTCGATCGTATATTTTGGGACCCAAGTCGTTAATTTTTTATTTTTAATGCACCAAAATTAAGCCTGGCGCACGAAATGTTTTAAGCACTTTAATATGCACGAGAAGACGAAGATGTCACCAGAGGTACCAAAAATGTTAACAAAACTTTTTTTGTAATTTTTGTGTTGTTTTATTGTTTTTTCCAAACACTTTTGAGTAAGCCCTTATATGGAAAACTAAAGGGCTCTAAAAATATATATGTTTGTTTTAGCTAAGTAACCGTTTTTAGTTTAAAAAAATTACCAAAAAGTATTTGATTCCTTTTTGCAATAATTTTGTTTGTACCTAAATAAGGATAACACCAAAACGTATTTTAAATGTTTGTTAACATGAACGATTTGGCCAATATTTTACCAATGTTTTAACATTTTTTTGACCTATGTATTTTATAACAATAAAACGAGTCGTCTTATAATGGTGATAATAAACTTTGTTTTATTACTTTTGTTTATTTTTTTTATATTTTACATTTTTATGGTTTTATGGTTTATTTATAATCGTATTTTATATATTATTTTTAGGCATAGTTCTTTATTATATTACACCTAAATTTGTCGTACATTATAAGTACATATAATATTAATGTACATTTGTTATTTATTGCTAATATTTTATAAATTTTATTGCAACAATTAAACTTTGACACATATTATTACAAAATATTTATTCATATCAAATAATATTTCTAAAATAGGCCATACAAACAAAGTAACAACTTGAGAAAGTATTTTTGCCCAAGGAAGAAAATTGAAAATTATTTTTGTATGTTCGTTACGTATAATTTAAAAATTTAGGTATGCTTGGTTAATGCCGGGTAGAAAATAATTGTGCGCTAACATGATATATTATGTATTAGTAGAGACCGGACTTTTAGGCACTTAAAAAATGAAAAAATGCTCTTAAAAATACACACACGTTTATTCTAATACACAAAAAATATTGTATTAATAAAACATAAATAATTTAAATTTATAGAAATACTAATTTAACTTAATATTAATCCATTTTTAATGGTTTTGTTTATATATAAACAATAATTTTTTGACATTTTCTTTTGGTAAATTATGTTTATCCGATAAAATATTTTTGTAAAAGTTAAAAAAAACGTCGGCGCCATCCCTCTGATGCATAGCTCCGCTCTAAATCGGTGTTATTTATTTTGAATAGCAAGCGAAGCTATAATTCGATGATATGGTCGGTGCTTCGATCTCTGCACACTAGAGTTTTAGCGATTTAGCTTAATATTTTGTTGGGTGCTTTTAAAAAAATCGATTTTTTTAATTTAAAATAAAAGTACTAAAAAGCATTTTTGCACTTTAAGCAAGCATTTAGGCATTTTAAAATTAAAAAAAGACAAAAAATTAACACATACCTACATAAATGAACACAAAAATAACATCCACACAATGAAATAAACACACCATTCTGAAATCATCAAATTATAAACAAATTTGGTACAATATAATTATCAGTACTACTACAACACTTACTGATGTACTTCGTAACTTTAACCCACTTTACCTACTGTATCCCCTAATTTTAGTTTGAAAATCAGAGATGGCATCTTTCTTCGACATCCGTTAAAGAGATATAAAGAATCCAAAAACAACGAAATAATTTTTTGAACATTAAAAAATACAAAATTGCATATAACATTTACAAAACTTTTGGTAAAATATGCTTTGTTAAAATAATTACAAACCCTGGTTTTCTACAAAAGATTTTACAAAATAAAATTAACAAACTACAAACTTATGTTAAAAAATCTGATTTTTTAACAGTGTATTTTAGCGACTGCTTTGGTGCGGGTAGTTGTGTGCAAATTGATCGACGGCAAGGTATTTACAAACTTAACTTTATTACACTACATATACACAATATACAATACAATACACATATATACACAAACAGAATTATAATTTAAATGTGTTGTCACCCGGAGCCGATGTACTCAAAACGGGGAGTCAGTACGTTGTGTCTGGTGATAGACCAAGACCTTTTCCAAGAGCCCTTTGGCCACCCACCCCTAATCGTGGTAGGGGATAGGTAGGAAACATTTGGAAAAATTCAAGCGCATCTATAAAAGGGTAATAAAAATAAAATTAAATAAATTACTTTGGGTAAAGAAACCGTAGAGGTAAGTAAGCAATAGTAAAGGATGTTTACCGATGTCAGGAAACTCCAATGTTTTACAAGGCTCCAGGTAACAAACACACGCTCTATGCAATACACTATTTACAACCTACTACCTGAAAACTTTAAACACCAGTACTGAATAATAATGATTCGAAATACATAGCAATCAATTAATAAAAATTATTATAAAAATCACTTAAATTGTACTATGACAGACAAGAGTGGGAAATCCAGTCCCCACAGTATCAAAATTGACGATAGGCCTTTTGCATAGAATCCTGTCTCTATATACTAGGTATTATCATGAGTAGATGCAGATTGAAATCTTGCATTTTTAATATGATAATGCCTTTAAATGTATTATGTTACGAATAACATGTGTATTATGTTTAAATATGTGTAGTATTTGTAATTATAACGGTTTTGTAATTTGTTTTTATTTATAGGCACAAAAGGTACAACAATTAAAATATTTTAATAAAAGAAGTTACCTACTTTAGATTTTGTATTATTAAATTTCTATAAACTAAATTATCAATGGAAAATACTACTTTAATTCCATTAAAATAAATTTTTTGGAATTTCTAAATTTGATTTCGCTTTTTGACTGTTTTATTTTTTTATGATTTGGTAAAGATCAATAAACTTTATAAGAAAAAAATATATTAAAAAAAATTGCAAAGTTAAGTTTAAAAAATAATCAATAAGATGCCTGTAAACGCACAGAAGGCAAGACACGCATAAAACAAGAAAACACACAATGGCGATTAGCCTTGGCACTAAGGGTGGGAAAATTTCACACGATATTTGTTAAAATTTACACAACTTTAAACATTAACGTGTAATTAACAAGTGTTGATTCCCAATTTAGGAACATTCGTGTAAAAATATTACGATTACGATTTTTACACAAAATTTACACAAAAAAAGAGAATTTACACACTGATATTTTTAGTGTAAGAAATGTTGCTTTATTAGTCAATTTCCTAAACAAAAAAATTAACACACACATAAATACATAAATGAAAACAAAAATAACATATACCTACCCAATTAAATAACCCACCATTCTGACATCATTAAATTATAAAGAAATTTGGTAACATAAAATTATCAAACACTTACTGATTTATTTCGTAACTTTAACCTTCTTCACTGTATCCCCTATAAAACTATAGTTTCGGTTTAAAAACCAGTGATGGCATCTTTTTCGGACACTCGTTAAATAGGTATAAGGAATCCAAATAATCTAGACAGTTCTTTTGAACACGTTACGAGTTAGAATAAAGTAAGCAGAAACATAAGTTGCGGACGCTGAAGTCAGTTGAACTTGTTGATAGTATTGTCAGTAGGAAATGTTTTGATTGACTACCTGAAATCACTTGTACTTTATCAAAGAAATTATTTGTTAATTACAAAGCCTGGTTTTCTACAAAGGATTATGTTAAATTTTTCAAAATTAAATTAACAAACTACAAACTAATGTTAACAAATCCGATTTTAATAACAGCGATTTAATGTTTCTGTAAAGACTTCTGGAGAGGGACAGTAATTTTACCTACACAGTATTTTACGATAAGAAGTGACAAGTTTATTATTGTTATTGTTTTTTTTTCTTTTTAAACTTTTATTAATAATGCAACGCTCCAAACGTTTCGAATATTTATTAGGCTAATAAATTTGGCAGATTTTCATAAATTTTATCCAAAGATTGCAATATTTTAAAGAAATTTAACATCACCTTTAAAAAAATCAGATAAAAACTGATGAACCCATTAAAACATGTCGATTTTAAGAAAAAACACCTTGGAAATAGAGAAAATCGGAGGTGTACCTCAAGGAACATGTTCGGGACCGCTGCGTTATAAGGCCACTGTTTGATAATGGTAGTAGCGGTGCAATGTCTTGCGTGCCGAGCGGTAAGAAGCGCTCCTCCGGCAGTCAGTTGTTTTGCTTCTTCGGCTTAACATAGACGTTGTCAGCGCACACGATTCTCGACTAATAAACATTGCGCGAGTCAAAAATCAAGTGCGTGAACACAGTTGAAATATGTGATTTTTAGTGTGCTTCGTTTTGGATAAACTAAGAGAGGACTTGCAAATGACTTTGGGATTATACAGCAAAAGGTAATTTTATTTTAATGGTTATTATATAATAATCTGACAACCATGTCATAACATTGACAATTAAATAATTGTCCTATCAAAGGAACCCGTGATAATTTGAAATTACGTTTTTGTCAAAAGTTATTAATATGTTTGTATTATTAAAGTTCCGAAAATAAACAAATGTGTGCATTAATCATATAGCCTGTCCTAAGAACTAATTGGATATAATTACAATAAATTATTGCTGAAGCTTTTGCTACGGTTTATAAAACTGTATTAGTGTAAATATTAGCCATACCATTCTATCCTTTTTTAACTGCATACCAAAAACCTGGATGTTGGTACCCCGAAACAAAAAAAAATTAAATATTGTTAAAAATTAACAAAAATTACGTGCCACCTTTTCTGTATTGCTTTTAAAAGGTTTTTTGATTATGTTATGTATACTTTGAATAAAAACTTTACAAAATATTCTGGGTAATTTACTTTACGTTTATTGAACCAATCAAATCACTTATTTACATGGCAACATTGGTAACGTGTGTCTTACCGGGTAAGATCCTTCTCTTACTTGATAAGACCACGTTACAATGACAACGGTTTGTTGGTATTGATTTGCATTATTCTTAATAAAATTTAAATGAATCGTTTAGTAAATTACCAATAAATATAAACCATAAATTTTTCCATACTCAATAGTATTTTCATAATGATGAACTATGAGTTTTTTTCTTAATTCATTTGCAGTCACTTAAATCTACTGATTGGTCTAAAAAGACCAATATTTATTTTTTCTTCTCCAACCTTTAAAACGCCCATTATCGTACATGTTTCCATAATACTAAGTGACCCTTTAAATACACATTAACAAGTTGTGGCTTTACGGCGTTTTAGTCACTGGATGAAGTTAGCAGCAGGTTTTTAGTCACAAGCTGAAGTTAGCTTTAAGTTAGTTGACAGTTGGCAGTTTGGCAGGGTGAAAGTAGGTTCCTAGATTTGTGAACATATATAGTTACTATAGTGAAGTTAAGAGACAGCGTGTAGTTATATTAGGCTAAAAAAATTCTTATCATACAATTCTTTAAAAAAAGGAGAATATATTGCTATTAAAATATAGTTAATTTTTTTTATATACTTTATTTTAGGTTTTATATAATTTGTTCCAAAACACAATATCTGTATAAAACCAAAAACCAATATAACTCAAAGAACTTATTGACCACTCTTTGTTATTTCTTAATTGTAATAAAAATTAAAATTTCTGCTCTTATAATTTTAACGCATAAATCAACAAAAAAAAATTGACTTCACTTTAACCACTATTAAGAATTACAAAATCACCATTTATTGATAATAACTTAATGGGTACCCACTCAAATCATATAAAAAAAGATGATTTATTTTTTAAAACAAATAATTGTTGTAAAAGTTCAGCTTAGTTGGTTTTGTAACAAATATACTTTAAGGTAAATTGGACCTATCCAAAATTAATTTAATTTGTCACGATCTGTAATTTTTTTAGTCATGATCCAATTATTATTATTCTTTGATAGACAATCTTATTTTTTATATAAAATATTACATAAATTCCATGCAAATAAACATTTATTATTAGATTTGAACCATTTTTTTACTTGTTCTTATTAATAGGACAAATGTGTTTTAAAATATTTCACGTTGCTTTTTCAAAAGTGCGAAATAAAAACACACAAATTATAGCTGAAAGTGTCTTCTTTCTTTATAAATAAAAAAGGTGGATTTTACGCACTCAGATTATTCAAATAACGCAATTTGTATTTTAAATATATCTATTCTATTTCAAAATAAAATTATTATATTTATGGTCAAATCAAGTCAATAATCTTAAAAAGACACTTAGGACGTCTTTAACCTTATTACATAATTTAAAATTCCACTAACTTAATTCAGCAAATGCTTAAATAGACAAATTTACTACATTAATTTAAATATTTAGAATCCAATTATTTTTACAGTTAGTTATTTGTTTATACTTTTTGTCAAAGCTCGTATTTTAGTTATTAGAATTTTACATTCTTTTGTGAAAAATATTTTTTTATTAATTAATTTAAAAAAATATCGACAAAAATTATTAAAATTAAAATTTCGTAGGTACCTGTTTTCTTAAAAAAATATTTACAATTTGAGTTAATGGCTAAAAGCATAGAATTTGATACAAAATATTTGAGTCTTAGGTATATAAAAGTGGCAAATAAATTTTTGTTAACATTCACAACACAGTTTAGCAATAATAAACAATAATTCTTAGCAACTTTAATAATGTTTTAATCAAAAACCAGACTGTCATTTTTTCTAAAACTTTTAAGTACTCTACTATAACCTAGAACTTTTTTAACATCTTTTTATATTCAAAAATTAACTTAATCCAAAAGCAAGAACAGTAGCCTAGGTAATTATTTGTATTATGAGTTTTATTTATCTATTTAGTATATTGTTTCAAAATAATTCAAATTTTTATGACAAAAAATTTAATTTCTACTCATACATTTTTAAAAACCTTAGTATTTAGGTAAATTAAACAGTCCCCTGACTACGTAAGTTAAGTTTTAAGAGATTATTATACTGTAGCAACAATTATTGGCAACACAATATCGGAAAAATTAAGTAAAAACATAATGTAGAAGATCGTCTAATATATAAAAACAATTGTTTTTTAATGCTGTTTATTATTTCCCATATTTAAAAAAATTAAGTTAAATATGCCTGCATATAGAGTAATAAAATGTAAAAAAAAATTGTAATGTTATGATTGTTATATAAAGTACCTATTGATAAGTGATTAATAATGGTTTACGTATAGAATCAAAATGTTTTATAATTCCTTAATAGTATATTATGTATCAAGTTTGATAAACGCCATTTTAAACACAAATTTAATTTAGGCACGAGCGAACTTGCGAGCGAATGCTTTAATTAATGAGTGTATAGAAAAGTTTATAAACGAGGTGCATACTATACTTTTTCTACGACAAATACTTATTATTATCTTAAAATGATTTAAAACAAAATTTGTATAGAGCGCCATCTATGAAACAACATGGGAAACTGTCAAATGTCAAATTTTTACATTTTATAAACACAATTATAAAGGTTATAAATCGAAATGTATATTAAAAATTGACAGTTTTTCACAGTAAAAGTAAAGGAAATGTTTTATGAGGACTTTACAGTCCGTCCCCGAATTTAAGTTATAGTTTACTGCCGGCGAAATTAAAAGGTCAGTACAATGTTCATATAAACTTTTCAAATATTGGCGTTGAGAAACTATTTAATACTTTTGTATTTTTGTATTGAGATAATAAAATAATTTTCACATTTAGTATTATTTTACAAGAAAGGCACTTTATTTTAACGATTGTATGACATTTGACAACTGTCAACTAACTTAAAACTAACTTCAGCCCGTGACTAAAAACCTGTTGCTAACTTCAGCCCGTAACTAAAGCGCCATAAAGCCACAACTTGTCAATGTCAAGGTCACTTAGTGTCATGGAAACATGTACAATAAAGGACGTTTTAAAGGTGGGAGAAGAAAAAACAATTTAATCGTTTGAAACTCGCGGTTTAAGTACATAATAGAGGTGCGAATTTTAAATTCAAAACCTAATTTTAAAAACTATTAAAAGTAAAAGATTTGAACTGTTCACGAAATTGGTTATGTTTGTATTTTTATGACTCTAGGACCCTTGTAAGGTTTTCTTGTAATATTTCCTAAATGTTAAAATGTTGCTGGGACAAAATCGATCAACATTAATAATTTTTATTTTTAATTATGACTCTTTTGTTTAGTATCGATATTGTCACGATAAATTATTGTGTTTAATTTAGCGCCGTTTTTATTGCCTTTTACCGATACCTGACATAATTCCATAAATACAATCATAAATTTACTACAAATGGTGGAAAATCATAAATTATTACCTTACATTGTTTGGCTAAACAGTTAAAAGTGCATTTTGTTATTGTTTGTATTTCAGTGAACAGTTACTTTATTCTGCACATGTTGGCACTTAAATCGCTATTCAATTAAACAATTTCTTTGAGGTCAAGCAGTGAACATTATTTTGTTTTATGGTTATTATTAGTATTAGTATTAGTAACACAAATTGTGTGGTCGAAAGAATACATAAATTTTAATAAAAAAGGATAGTTATAATTAAATATCAAAAAGCTATTGGTGTGATTATTTTATGAGAAAACCTAATTCAGGAACATAAGAAATATGAACACCCAGTACAATATTCACCGTTGACTTAAACGGTCGAAGATTGCTTTGGCGACACCAATATTGTTGCTATAATTATTACGTTTAACCTGTTATGCCAATAAGACAAATATAATGTTTAAATCACATTTTTCACTTTGCATTACAGTTAATGCCCTACTTCGCAGATTTAAAGTTGCAGAATCTTTGAAAATATGTGCTTGCTAACAAAACAACGTTTTTAATCATATATAATTAATTATCATTCATACTAGTTTTATGTTTTAATATAAGATAATTTTGTTAGACTTGACCCCAAATGGTTTAATTTAATTGTAAATAAAAACCTTAAATTTAAATTAAATACCAAATGTTATTAATAGTATATTATGTATCAAGTTTGATAAACGCCATTTTAGTCACGAGTTTAAAAATAATGAGTGTCTATATTTGATTTGCACGGACATTACTTTATTATACCTGGTTGTATTTGTTATTTATGACAATTAAATTGAATTACCGTTGTCCAATACTGTACCACTTGTTATTTATATATTGTATTTACCACTGCCATTTATTACTGTTTTTTGTTTTATTATACTTTATGTTTTACATTGTTGTTGTTTGTTGCTGTACATTGATAGTTATTTCAATTGTTATTTGCTTTTCTACAACGTCTGAGCCTATTATGTAAATAATCTTAGCAATACGATAATATAATTGATTATATTTATATTGATTATATTCGTATTGATTACATTGCTTTTGTTGTATT